ATGAAAGTGGAACGAACTCAGTTGCCTGAAAAGCGTAGTTTGAGCATGTGTGGCCTAAATAAGCTGAACCCCCCTCCCTTACCTTATTTAGGCCACAGTCCACTGTGGCCTGAATAAGCTAAACCCCCCTCCCTTACCTTATTTAGGCCACAGTCCACTGTGGCCCAAATAAGCTAAACCCCCCTCCCTTACCTTATTTAGGCCACAGTCCACTGTGGCCTAAATAAGCTAAACCCCCCTCCCTTACCTTATTTAGGCCACAGTCCACTGTGGCCTAAATAAGCTAAACCCCCCTCCCTTACCTTATTTAGGCCATTATTGGCCTAAATAAGCACTCCCTTTGTTTAATTAATGTATTGCCTTGCAAAATTTTACATGCATGCTCCTCAAGCTCTGTTGTTAGATTGTTTGTTACATTTTTGTAACAGCTGTATAGCTTCGAGAATGAAACTCCACGGGAGCCTGGATGTCCTGAATATCTTAGTCACAGTTCTCCTCTTGCTTGCTGTCTTTTATTGTCACTTTCCTACAAATAAAAATACCAAGATGAGTTTTACTTAAGTCTTTTTTTATATATGTCCAAACAGTCCTCATTTCCAAAAGATTCCGAGATGGTCGAAAGTTTCGAGTGCACACAAACGCAGACCAACAGGTACGTGCTTATGCTAAATGAACTAGGGAGAGTATGCTTTAACGAGTAAGTGGCGTCAAGATGGGACTTGCTAATTTAAATATCTTAAGCCCAACACCTGGTGTGAGTATGGAAATACATTTTCATACTGGAAAATATGCATTCTTTGTTTTCTTGCATTGTGCCTCTTTGACTTGCCGATGCTGAAAAAAAATTTTCTGAGTTTTCTGTGCATGATACTAGAAAGATGCTTTGACAGACTGGAAGAGAAAAAAATCTTGAAAAACTTATTTGGGTGTATTTCATGTGTGCCTTAGGTACAAGATCAGCCTTCTAAAGCCTTCGGTCAAAGCGTTGGCACTGTCCACGAGAATCTCCATCCGCACAGACAGCAGAGGGTTTCTGTCCCTGCAGTACATGATTAGGACAGAAGATGGGCAGATCTGCTTTGTGGAATATTTCGTAAGTGTGCATTTTTTTTAAATATTCTTTTCCAACCATAAACCCCATCTCCTTTTTCAGTGGTTTTAAGGGTTGATAAAGAAGATAACGAATATCAGTTACAACTCTCAAAACCCTTGTCGTCATCCTTTTCCTCCTTTCTCCTCTTCCTTATCATCTTTATCATAACTCCCCAGCCCGCTACGTAGCCGCCCCCCACCCCCACCCCCAGAAAAAAAAAAAATAGATAGATATTCTTTCTTCGCCACATGACTACAGGTACCTCCCCCCCCCTCACCCCATACTAAGGAGAATGACTCTCACTCTGGCGTCTGTGTTCATAATATCAGTGTTATATTTCCCTTGTACCATCTTCCATGTGCCTTTTCCCTTTTGTACTCTACCACAAGGAAGAGTCGCCTGTCTTCAAAATAATTATTTTTTGTTTTCAGTTCTAGGTGTGTTAATTCAGTTTCTATTAGGCTGAGCTACGATATGATTAGCCCAAGATTGAATCCCCAGTGGGGCATTCTTGTAATTGGATTGGATTGTCAAGGCTCTTCCACCAACTTCGCTTGTCTTATCAGAGATGAATATATCAAAATCAAAAGACTGGCCTCTTGACAAACCTATCAGTATTACCTATTTGTGCGGAGTGTGGTGTGTGATTTACCTTTTTATTTCCGAGGGGCCCTATTTTAGTGCAAAATCTAAAATTGACGTTTACATCACTAGTTTGGTCATTCAATCAAATCAAGTAAATCTATTTCGATAGTTCTTCTACTAATGAATAAAATTCCGGCAAAAGGGACTTGTTTTTGGCAATTGCCGAAAAGTAATTTGATGTCGAAGTCGTTGTAAAGGAATTAGCCTGAGCCTGTGGCTCGCCAGCAGAGGGATTCCAACCGCTGGGCGCGGCTTGACGGATATAATGAGTTAAGACCCACGTCGAAACAATTGTCCATAGGGCAGGACAGCATGTGCTTTAGAGTGAGTATAGGATAATCTGACATCGTAATTTTCTGCGGAACCGCAGAGCGGCCGCGGGGAAAATGGGTCAACTGCATCGTGGAATTTCATCCGCAGCACGGGCACGTAATTTTAATTTTTTGCCAAATTTTGAGAAAATTTGTTCCATTACTATGCTTTCAGACGTAGAATTGCGAGAGAAAAAATTAAACTGAAAGGAGCTGACGACGTTAGAGTGATCTCCCTTTCACCGGAAGCTGGATATAGGAGCGGTTTTTTTGTGTGTTTTTTTTGGAAACAAAATTGATCTAGGGGCGTAGATCTAGATTCTTGTTTGTGTTAGCAAAGATCGTACGTAAAAGATAGTTCACTCCTCTCTTTGAGCTAATTATAAAAGTATCCTCAAAATTCGGTGGCGCCATCTTGGAAAAAGTGCGAACTTTGCGATCAGAGTTACCCCACTAGTATGAAAAACAATAAAAGTGAAATTAACTAACTGTGCTATTCCTAATAACCTATTATTCTTCTGGAGAAACGAAAGAGAGCTTCATAACAAAGACTACAGCGCCATCTGAACCAAAGCGCGGACTTACGCAGACACTTTTTTGGCTGAGTGATCTATCTTGTTATGTACGATCTTTGTTTTTTTTAAGTAAAGTTTTACGGCCCTCGCCACTGCATAGGTCATGATCATATGAAGCCAAGGGGTGGGTGTCAACAGAGAGGTCTAAACGGGGAATCAGACTTACTCTGCTCCCCTCTGACTCTAGCCTCAACAGCACCAAATCAGCTTCGACTATCAAGGCACCCCAGAAATAGTGGGTCACAAGAGAGTGACAGCAAAAAACGAAAGAAGAAGAGGAAAAAAATTATGTAAGGATGAGGAAAGCAAAATGAGCAGCTGCAGTTCCCCCTATTCCTTATGTTGTTCCAGCACAGTATGAGCATGACATTGATAAATCAGCCCATTTACAATTAATTTACTGTGTATAAGAACATGTTAGTATCCCCCCCTTTGGGAATGACCTTTTAAGACGCTTCAGTTAGTAAAACTGCCCTTTAGATTCTATTGTGCATGCGCTATGGTATAGGAGTACAGGCAAGGCGAGATTTGTTTTTCAGCAAAAATGGATAAATACATTTTTTAAGGAAAAAATGCGTTGAAAACAAATGCCGCTGAACGTCAGCTTCAGTTTACCAAACGAACATATGTGTCTGGTGGGAAACTGTTCTGTAGAGTGTTAGTACATATATAACGTGGTACTTGACCACACCCCTAAATCGACGGTAGATGAGCATTTCTGTGTTTATGCCATCTTCACCGAGTGGCTTTTCCTTCTGGGGTGTTTCTAATTCTAATTGCGAGCTCTACCTCTGACTTTAGAATGTTGGGACCATTGTTGTTGCTTGGTTGTAGTGGGGGTGGTCTTTTATCTTCAAATGATTCTCCAACATTTTTTTGTTCTGCCCATCTTCCTAGGACTTCTTTGTTCTCAAATAACGTTCTGTCTTCAACGCCTCCTGACAATCAATGACATAGCTCAAACTGCCAGCTCACCTGATTTTGAAATTACCCCGGTATACAATGGTGTCTCATTTCTTTGGGCCACACTTTTTGCTTTTTTGCTATTTTATGTTATGGGCTTGTGTTTCTAAAAAAAAAAAAATACAGATTGTATGCTGCTAATTGCTGGGGGGGGGGGGGGGGGGTAATTTTACTGTGTCTGTAGTGCTACTTCTCAGCCTATGATTAATTGGTACTTCTATTTTTTAAGCAGTATGGAAAAAGAAGTTTAGACAGGGTCAGGGTCCTTGCAGATTTTTTGCGGAATTTGGTCATTTTGGGAGTAAATTCTGCGCAGAATTTTGAAATTTTCAATGCAGAAAACTACGATGTCAGGGTAATGAGGATTAATTATTAATAATTCCTTAATAATTATTGGTAATGCCGTGTGCATTCTTTTTTGGGTGTCTCTTGGCTGCTTTCACCATCATGTTACTAGTCATTGTACAAGGGGGAGTCAAAAACTATACTAGTTGTTCGTTATTTTGCATCAAATTTAATAAAAATCAGCTCACAAGTACTTGCTCATATACGGTACTTTTGAACTCAAATTGTTAAAATTCAAGTTTCTTTACTTTTTTTTACCCAAATGACGTCACATCAAAATGGCTACCCTCTTGCAGGTCTGTCAGAGGTTAAGAGCTGTGATTGAATTTCTTGTTTTAGAGAAGGAAAATCCACTGATAACATCCAAAAGAGACATCAGAATGTTTACAAAGACCAAGCTTTAGATTTCGTCACTATATATGTAGATGGGTCAGATGTGTAAGCAATGAACCAGAGGAAGAGGTGTCCCTGTGCTTGTCAGACAAGCGTTGTCCCGAGGAGTCAGCCGGAAGAATCATGGCAATTGTGTTTTGGGACATTCATAGCGTGTTTCTCACACATTTTTTTTTTTAACCACGAGGAGCAACTGTCAATTCTGAACCCTACATTGAAACGACTGAAAGCGAGAATTCGACGAGTCAGATCAAATTTGAACTTGGAAAGAGTGTTCTTTCACCATGACAATGCCCGCCTGCATTCGAGTACCAGAACTAGGGAGACAATCACCCCGTTTATGTGGAAAACACTGCCACACCCAATTTATTCTCCTGATTTGGCTCATTCAGACTTCCACTTTTACAGTCCTAGAAAAGAACCATTGAGAGGTCAACACTGTGGAAACGATGGAGAAATCAAGACTGCTATAACCCTACAACCAACCTGCTCAGTTTTACACAGCTGGCATATGTGGACTTAGTAAAAGGGGGACAGTGGCTATTGAACGAAATGGAGACAGTTGAGAAATAGAAATTTGATCCTCAGATGCTCCCCTTCTATTTGAGGTGTGATAGTTGCAAGTGTGTTCTTTTTTCTTTAAGTTATAAACGAAGTTGTTTTACTTTTTGACTCACCCTCATATATATATGATTTTGCAATATCAGGACCACAGTAACTTCAACTTAAGTGGGTGGTCTGTCTGTCTACTGTCCGTCTTGCTTTCTTTTAGGCCTGACTGAGCGTTATGTGCTTATTTTAATTAATTGAGAATCGTCCTATGGCTCAAGCATCCCCACCCTTGTGACGCTACCACCACCACCCTACTGACCAAAATGGCCAGCCATTGTTAAAGAGAAAAGTGGTTACATCATGGACAGAATCATTAAAATAGAAAAAATTGCCATGGGGGAGGTGGTCATTTGTACAGGTGGCTGTTCGAGGAGATTCAACTGTACTTCACTTTTATCTTGTTTCAGTGTGCCCCTGATGAAGAGGTTGAAAGGTGACATCGTAATTCAAGGACATTTGTTTGTTGTTGTTGTTGTTTGGTTTTTTTATTATTATTATTTTATAAACAGTAGAGTTCGCTTACTCCGAAATCTGCGGGACAGCCAGGTTTTAGGTTTAGAGAGTTTGCTCAAATAGAAGAGGAAAAAGCGGGGATTTTTTTGTTCCCAGTTTACTGCTGTTTTCGGGTTACCCACCTTCGGTTTAAGCGGAATCCGCTGTACATGGAAACTGAATTTAAATTGCATTTCAAAGATTTGTGACGAGGAAATTTGTTCCTTTGTACTTGTAAAATTCTATTATGATAACAATGTGTGAGCATTGGTCTTTTTTAGTTGTAATTTTAAGAATTTTTAATGTTCAGCAGCACCTCAAAATGAACAATTATTGTGAGCCATCGTGGTGAAATCAGGCGCTCATCGAAACACTGGAATCGGAGAAACAGGAATTTTTCTACTGGTTTTTCAATTTTTATCGAATGTTTTAATTTTTGACTCAACATCTTTTATATCCATTTAAAAACTCATTTCTGTCTGGATTTTATCGAAAAACGTTGAAAAAAGGAACAAAAGGTAAATGTTCAGTTCTCAAGCCCCCTCAGGCTTTGGAAGTCACCAAAGTTTGGCAGCCATTTTCTCACTAATTTTACCTCTGAACACGGTGACCCCCACCTTCTTCAATCGCAAATATCTCGACTTTGATTCAAGATAGAAGGATATATTTTTAGTTCAAATCAAGGCAAATGAACAGGCTTGAAGATGATACCAATAACTCCTCATCTTACTACCCATCTGGCGTTTAGAGCAGCAGCAAAGGATCTCCAGCTCTGTCTGTTTTGGGCCATCTTGGTCAACGTCCCCAATAACTCCATGTGCCCAAAAATTGATGAGTGCCTGATTCTACTTCTACGGCGTCCTGACACAATTTATCTTCCCTTTGATGGAAGACTTATCTATGACTTCATAATTACTCGACGGGTCTGTTTGTTACAGTGTTCGGTCTCAATGCCCAAGGGGTAGGAGAGTCATAAACAGCCATCCTATGTCCACATATTTTTATGTATGTATATACAGTGGCATCCCAAAGAAACTTGAAAATTTATTCACCCAATTATCGTATCAAAGCCTTGCACCACCTACTCATGCAGCATAATAAATATTACATCTACAAGAATTATTTTGATAGTCCCGAGTTCTCGTCATTCCAGTTGTCGGGAATACAATTTTGATTTAGTGACCTTTTTATTTAAATTTCAAAGAAAGAGAAATAACAGAGATTGTAGCATTTCATGTTATGGTCTGAATACCATCGAATTACTATTGGAATACTGATCATGTATCTGGCTGTTAAGCATTATTATTGTTAACAATAATTGTTGTTTTATATCATATGTGTGTGACTGTGGGTCTGTTTGTGTGTGTAAGCATGTACATGTATAATGAGGGATTGTGTATACAGATATAATATATGTCTGCGGAAGAGAGGATATGTGTGAGAGTGTGTGTGTGTATAGATGTGGGCGCACTCACATACATATGTGTGTGTCTGTGGAGGGAGGGGTGGTGGTGAAATATCAAATCAATCCACCAGCTTGCTTTCAATAGATACAGTGGGTGTCGCTTTCAACAAGGTTGCCGTGACCAGCTTGTTGTCCTCGTTGGATCCGACCTCTCGTTGAATGTGACTAAGGCTTAAGAAAAGAAAGACAAGTTATTACAGTGGAATCCTGTTATAACGAGAGGGAGCGGACCAGAGCAAAATGTCTGTTATAGCAGGATTCTCGCTATAAGGGATCCAGTAATAAATTCAAGGGAAACTGTAAAGTAGGCCTAATCTATGAGTTTGGTGTTCTGTTTATCTCCTTTTGCTATCTCCCCTGATGATGATTTTGTTTCAACATGACCTCTAGGTCTTACTTGATCAAAAATCGAATCAGGTTTCTTTCTCTAGCGCTAGATCTAGCGATGTGGACTGACAGCTCGGCGTTGGCGATCAGAAAGAAAGGGCTCTGGGCTAACTCGCCCACTGTGTTTTCCCCCACCCCACCCTGTGGTGCATTCTGTCTGCTTGCGCACGTCACACATTCGCTCCATCCATTACAGCACTGTGACCTCTCCGTCCCCGCATCGGAGAAGTGAGAGGCATGGTAGGCCTTGATAATCTAAACTAGGCTTACTCTGGCCTATCACGCGATGCGTTCTGCCTGTCTGCGCATGCCACACCCTCCCTACTCAGTTGCTCTGGCCTTCATTGTTGATGCACATGGGATCTCCTATCCTTTGATTTGCAAGATCATCATCAAGTTTCTCAACTGGCGAGGTTTTGCATTATGTATAATTGTCTATGAACTGTGCACAGCAGCAGCAATTTTCCGCTATAACCGACTCGCATGTTTGTCTGATAGCGCTATAGCAGTATTTTATTTACAAAGGTAAAGAGGAGAAAAAACGGGGTTTTAGAATAGTGTCTTTATAACAGACTTCTCTTTTTTTTACGGACTCGTTATAAGTGGACTCCACTGTATATCACACGATGTACCAATACCAGTAGTTAAAACAGCTGTTCCCCCTGATGACGAAAATCTCAAACAGCATCAGTGTGCGTGTGTTTAAGTTAAGCTGTGAATTCTGACCGTCATTTCTGCTTTTTACAATATATTTTTTCCGGAACACTTCTCGTGTGGAAACATGGGCCTAGATCTACATAAAGTGAAGGCGGGAGCTTGGGTTTTCTCATCAGGGGAAGAAAAGAAAATGAAGGTCTCGATCTAGACCTAACCATTCAGAGTTCATCCAGTTTCAAACAGCCCGCATCACGTTCTCACCCGCCCCCTCCCATTCCTACCGTAGGCTAACCCTCGCCCATCCTCATGACTTTGGGACCCATATTAAGAGGCACACTAGATCTAGCAGCAATACAATGTGTTAGGAATCAAGGATAGGCCTTGTGCTTTGCGTGAGATGGAGAGAAAGGAGAAAAATTCTTCACTTTTGGGGACGCTAATTGCTTTTATTTGGTTATCGCAACCTCGTTGAAAGCGACTTCCGTCTGTTTGCAACCTCGTTGGAGCTGACGTACATTTACAAAGAGATGTAGAGAAAAAATCGGGCATTAAGGATTGCCTCGTTGGAGCCGACTTCTCGTTGAATGCGAAACCCACTGTATAAATTATCTTATCTTATTCTATACTTATAATCTCGTCACAGAGATCCACATCTGTACTGTAAACGCTGAGGGGGATTTATTTGAAAATGCTATATTTTCTTTTAGGGAAGGTATTGTTATCATTTTTTCAACAGTGGAGCTCACGTAACTTATAACTACTTCAGAATGTTAAGGACCCAGACTCATCTCCAAATAAACAACAGCTGTGTGGGCTTGAGATGTATAGATTTGTATAAGGGTAGCGATATTTCCACGGCATGCCGTCTGAAGATCGTAGTTGATATTTCCACGGCACGCTGTCTTAACATCGGAAGTGATACCTATACGGTATGCCGTCTTGAGTCTAAAGATCGGAATTGATATTTCGACGGCATAGGCTCTGCTTGAAGTGTACCAATGCAGGAATTGTGTTTGTTTTCCTGGCGACGAGTCGGGTGATCATCCCTACCCGACCCGACTCGATCCCATCCGCACCCTACTGTTGGAAAAAAAAACCCAGTATTCTCTCCATTTTGCTAGCACAAAATAAATTGTGCATCTCTCACTCTCGTTACAATCGCACAAAACATTTCTTCATTGTCCATAATGCACAAAATGATAGCAAAGGATAAACATTGTTAACTAAACATACAGGTATCTTAAATTGTATCTCTAATGCGTTACTTATATTATTATATGGAAAAGAGATTATAGCCTAGGCTTAATTATAAATAGTCCGGATGTTCTGATTGGCTGAATTTATGTGCCGTGGAATTATCACTTCCGATTTTTCGGCGGCCTGCCGTATAAATATATCCACTTCTTTTGGATAAACATTCGAGTGAGATCCATTGTTATTGTTGTATGAAATAATCTTAAATGAGAGCTTTTATACATTTGTTGATGAAGGGAATAGCTTGGGATGTGGATATTTTAACTGGATTTGGTTTTTGGGGAGATTTTTTGTTTTTTGTTGGAGGGGAGGGGGGTTGGGGTGTTTATGTTGTAAAAATTTGAGTGAGAATGGTTTGTGACATATGTAACATGTACTACATTTGTAATGTACAGAAGGAAAGAATCGGTTGAGTGCCAAAGCTTGGTTCCCTTGTTTTTGGCTGGAGAAAATAACTGTGTACCTTATGTCAAGTGTGAATAAATGTTTCTTCTTCCTCCACAAAATCAAAATGTTTGGTTTGCATTATTTTCACTGCTAGTATTTGAATTCAGCTGATCAGATACCTGGCTGACAGAATTTTATAAATCAAGAAGCTTTTGCAGTTGCAAATGCAAAAAAAAAATCTGCATTGTTAACATACTCGTAAACATGTAGACCTACTTTGAAGTGTTTAGGGTACGCAAATACATCATGTAAGTACATTCTTAGCTGACACTTCTGTCACCACAGCCTTGGACCACTCTCTCCAGATGTTGCCAGGAGTGTCTTAATCCTCTTTCCCTGTGTGTCCAGGTCATTGTGAAATGTGTTCTTTTTCATTTTGCCTTCCTCTTTTTCTTTTCCCCTGTAAACCAGTTTGAACTTTAGTTCATTGAGCCTAAATAGCTTGAGTACCTTTTATCATCTGCAAGAGATGTTTGTTGAACAGAAGGTGAAAGGTAGCACAATCCTGATTGCTGAATGTGCCTTTGTTAGGTGGTTAGCGCGCGCTCTGGTGTGGTGTGCTCCTTCTTTCCTATCAAATATTTATTGTCTTCTTTATCACTCCTTTTTTCGTGTGTGTTTGTTACTCTCTTGTGGGCGTGAGGTGGTGGAGTGGTTAGTGCACTTGTCTCCGAAGCGGAATGTCCGGGTTCAAGTCTCGGTTTGGACAAGGATTTTTTTCCGCCCCCCCCCCCCCACCCAGCAATAATGGGTACTTGACTTCGAGTTGGGGAAGTAAAGGCGGTGTGAAAAGGAACTGGCCACCCTACCACATTATGCTGACGGCCCAGGAAGTTGCCGCAACCATATTAACGCCCGACACCGACAGACGGACCAGACCCGCCGTTTTCCGTCGGGTGCAGCCGACCATATTAACACCGGATTTTGTCAGTCAGACACCGCCATCTTGCAAATATGGCGTGTAGCAGAAGAAGAAAATTGTTGTTGTTGCTGCTTTTGAGACACGGACAAAAAAGGAAAACCTAGACAAGAGACAAGA